AACTATGTTAGTCATATTATTTTATAGCTTGTCCTGCTAATGAATTCTTGGGAGCATTATTTAGAGATTTCTGCTTTTTCATGGTAATGGTAATATTAACCATTTCCTTATAAGGAAACACTAAGTTTTAATTGACCAAGCATCCAATGCCACTTTTGCTTGAAATTCATAAAATCTTTCTCTTAAAATAATTCTTCAGGGAAATAGATGTGCAGTGTTGTGTAATGTATAACGGCTCTGACTGAGAAAATTGGAGAGTCAAGTTTAAATTCTTGTTGGATTCATTGCATTCACTTTTGTGCAAATACTCTTTCTTCTTCTCCCCAGCTATGGGTTAAATAGCAGGACAGACTGTGTCATATAGCCTTGGTTGGTCACCTGTCTACCACAGAAAGAAATGGCAACCTACTGCAGGACTGTTTCCTGCCTAGTCAGTCATGAATTGAAAGGCACATGATTGCCCGAGCATGTATCATGTATAGAACTTACCTGGTTTCTTATGTCCATTATTATTGCTTTTTCCTTCCCTGTCTTATGCCTGAAGTAGTGTGGAAAGTTAACATCTTGATTATGTCATTATTTTCTCTTTGAGTTCTATGTGCTATCAATTTTGATAGTTGCTGATGTTGAAATTCCTCAATGGATGTCATTTTTTGTTATCTCAAACAGTTCTTTGTGATTGTGTAGCATCAATCCTCAAGGTTCAAAGAAGAATGGTCCTCACTAAGACCTACATGCTTTGCTCAATCAATGTCATTTTTAATCATCGATCTGAGAAAGTGATTCTATACAACCAGCAGCTTATATATTTCAGAATGAATTTGGTGCTATGCTTAGCATTTATATAAAAATCTTGATCTGATGAGGCTATTTAAGAATATGACGCAAGATTTGCATTAATGTTTTGGTTTCATAGCAACTTGCAGTGTTGGATGAAACTAAGACAGCTTATTCTATATTCAGTTTCCTTATCTCCTATATTAAATAATAATAAATTTAGTATAATTGATCTTTTTGTTTGATATTTACTAACTCTACCTCCTGAATTTTTATGATAGATTCTTTGTATGAGTCATCACTGCTTTCATTCCAATTGCAGATCATAATTTCTGTTTTCGAAAGGTTTATCTTGAGTCCTATTTCTTAGAACACTTGGTAAAGAATGTTTTCATTTTTATGAAGGATTCATGGTAGGTGACATCACAGCTTTCATTCCAATTCCAGATCATAGTTTCTGTATTCAAAAGGTTTATTTTGAGTCCTATTTCTTAGAACACTTGGTAGAGGATGTTTTCATTTTTATGATAGATTTAGGGTAGGTGACATCACTGCTTTCATTCCAATTCCAGATGATAGTTTCTGTTTTTGAAAGGTTTATCTTGAGACTTATTTCTTAGGGCACTGGGTAGGGTAGGTTGATGTTCTGTCCAAGATCATTCTTATCCCTAATCTGAATCCCTATATCATCTGCACAGACCCACTTCCACTGTGATTTTTCTATAAATACTTTCATGGTAATTGATCTCATGAGCTTTCCCCTTTCAACTTCACAAATTTAAGTGCAATGCTAGATTGGCAGCTAGATCTCTTCATTTTAAAGTTGAAATTGCTGGAGGTAACCATAAATTCTCTGTTAACAGTTTGTCCTCTCGCACTTCTTGCATGTGGAGCTCTCTTCCAGCTTTTTACTTCCAGTCAACTTTGATCTTCAAAAATTTCAATGTAATGTCAATCGTTATCTTTTGTCTTCTTATTTCCTGTTCTTTTCTTTTTCCTTAATAACGTTTTTCATTTTTTCACAATCAGTAAGTGCTTGTGTTTTAGTGGCTTTATTGCCTTGCTTGGAGTGAAATGATAAAAAAATTAATTAATTAACTTCAGTGGAATCATATCTCTTTCTGTCAACAATGAGACATCATATATCTTTTTGATAAGTGCCTCAACACAGAGTAATGGTCTATAAAGCACCAGATGAAATTGAATAATCAAAGATCGACATGTCATGAAACCAAAAAATCTAAACTTTTTTTCATATTTAATCAGCTTAAGATAGTATTGTACAAAGCTGCTTAGAGAAAATACATGTATAAAGATTGTGTTGCACTGAATTTTCTAGTCATCCTACTTGCTTTTAAAAACAGCATTTGAAATTCTGTTTTTTGTTTGTTTGTTTTTCGTTTTGTTTTTATTGTTTTTTAGTCTTATCTCGAGTTGGAAAACACCAATAGAAAACGTATAACTACCTCCAGCCATAAGACCATCCATGTTTTCATCTTTTCTTTTGTTTTAATTTTCCAATATTTTTTCTTTCTGCAGATGAGATGACAGATAACACACAAAATCTTTAATTTCTTTGTTTTTAAATCTTTTTAATTTTTATGTTTTAAAGATAGTTAACAAATTTAAGATGTAAACATTTTTTTTCAGCAAACGATGAGTTTTTCTAAATTTATTCTCTGCTTTAATGAAAACAAATTTCAGTATCTATGAAATCAGTTACACTTAATATTAAATGCAGACAAGCTACTTATACATATATATATATATATATATATATATATATATATATAATAAATAAGTGAATTCTGTATATATTCATTTGCCAGGTGTTAAGATGGCTACCATTGAAATGAATACATTTCTTATCATCTGTCTGATTAAAGAGTTATCACTTTTCCAGGTAACATCTGGAAATGTAATCAAATCTACATTTTAAGCGGCATTTCTTGCATGAAAACTATAAGAAGAATGTCCAATGTTTATCTCCTCTCTGATAGTTTTACCTGGGGATCTCAGAAGAATTTCCAGGTTTGGTTAAGATGCCCTGACCATAGACTTCATTACTTTGCTGTTTCTTCTCTCTTCCTATTTCACAACACACTTATAAGTCCTTTGCAATAAAGTGTAGGTATTTACTTGTCTAAGCCATCATTTGTATAAGAGCAAGTTTATGCAGAAACCAGTGCAGGATGAACTCCCTAACAATGAGATCATGTCTGTCTATATTTCTGAGATGAGGTATTATGTACCCTATTTACATTATTCAGACTATTGTCCTCATCTTTGTCGCCATATTTATTATGTTTCGGCCATTGTACGCTTCAGCCTTCTTCAATACCCGGTTAAGATGATAGAGAACTTGGAGAGAGGAATTAACAGACATAACTGACATCCATTAAACATGGCATGTGGAAGTAGAACAGTCTACCCCAGTGAGCGAAATAAAGGGTTCAGTTTGACATTCCAATCACCTGAAGAAGGCCAGAGCATACAACGGCCGAAATGTTGTAATAAATATGGCAACAAAGATGAGGACAATAGTCCGAATAATGTAAATAGGGTAAATGAGATCATGATTGAAAAATTTATTACACTAAATAGTTTCATAGAAAGATCATTCTTGGTCTTTGGTAATTCAGTTGTAAAAACTTGTTTTTTTAAGTGCTATGTTCTTTCAACACCTAGGCAGTCATGGCTCTCCACAACAACCTATCCTTTGTAGCTTTTAGCA